AATATAGAAAGCAAGAAAAAATAGCTATAGTTATTTTTATATTATATGAAACCCAATATAAATTCAATAATGGATATTTGGTCCACAAAAAATTATTTATTCACAAAAATATATTAGAAGAAATAGACATAAAAATCTATATTTAAGGATTGTTTTGTAATTTTCGAAAACAAGTTAGATTCGCTACAAGTACCTACCCCGCCAGTCTTCACTTGCATCCTCTGCTCAGGTAATCTGGCCAGCAAGTTCAAAGCTAAGTCAGCAACCCATTGAATAAGTTGCTGCAACGATTGCAACGTGCTCGGTTCTACCGTAAACTCTTTCGGATCGAGATGCAGCAACACCTCAAATAAAATATTAAGTAAATAAGTAATTTATTTGAATTAACTATTAAAGTTTTAATTTGTTAAAGCACAATTATATATTTAACGTCATATTTTGTTATGTTATATCTACGCTTCACTAGTCATTTTTATTCTACGGCAAATCGTTTAATGAAAAAGGGAGTAATAGAGTTGGATGAGAAATTTGATTCATGCAAATTCACGGAAATTTAGCTGGTCGAGAACAGAGATGCTCTTGAAGTAGAACTTTGATTTCAATACCTTATCAACGTCAGTAATGATGTCAGTTATCACCGCGGCTAAACTTTCCGCTGGCCCTTTGTCGTGGGATATCAGGTCCGATGGTCTCAGTAAAGATTTGAAGGCAGTAGCTACCGAATGTATCATCAGTAACGATGACAAATCCGCAGCCTTGCTCTGTCCTGTTACGAGCATTCTGAAAATAATAATTGCAGACGTTAATCTTTCTGGTTTGTAATTTCAGATAATCTTTTTCATTTATCACTCCGATTCCTAAAAAGATCTTCAAACGCACTTCTTAAGTCTAACTCCGAGATATTCTTTTATTTTTTAAATCAATTTAAAAACTTTAATTTAGAAGAAAATTTATTCATATCAAAAACACCTTTTCACGTATACAAGTATCTAGTTACACACCTATATAACGATGTCTTGATGGATAAAAATAGGATGTAATGATATTGCTGTGTAGATTGTAATTGTCTGTTAAAGGAAACATCTAATCGCTCACACAATGCTTCGATCATGGACGATCTCAGACATAAAAGTATGTCCAACCAATCCAATCCGGTCACCAAGCAATACTCGAGTAATGTACAGGCATAGCTTAGCGACATCGACGTACCTACAAAATCACATATATTGCAATCTCACAGAAATATCCCGTAACTAAGAGAATGAATGTTAATGAATTACAATAATTTCAAATAAAGAAAATTTAGTTGTATACCTGTTGTACCGTCTGGCAACAATTTGTAGAGATACATATTGCCCTGAGTGTCGCACGCAAGAAGTACACATCCCAGCCATGAAAGATCCATATGGGCGATAGATACAGAATTCTTGAAGTATTTGTTGCTAGGCTCATCTGGACGCCAGCTTGTATTCAGGGATGAGAATGCCACTTCCTTCAAACAGTCCAAACGATTTAAGCAATGTACCGACGAGTCCGCTAATGCTATTATTACATAACTGGGAGGCGGTAAAGTCGTCACTATGGATAGTTTTGTAGTGGCTATCGCTGTGACCGGTGACTGGCAACGATACTGCGACTGATATTGCCAAACCTATACGCCAAGAATAAAGTAATCATACATCTATATTAAAAATAAATATATTATTTAAAAATATATAAATAGTATTTAATAGTACAAATACATTATTTATGTCTATTTCTATCAATGTGTATTAACTGTAATCTCGATTTAACTTACTTTTTATCTTCTTCTAATTCTAAGAATTAAAAAAAGATAAAGAGTAAATTAAACGGAGATTAAACTTAATCTACATTGGTAAACACAGATTTTATATAACTATTAATATAATATTATTTGATCGTTATTATTTATTTAAATACTATAATCAGATGTATGTTGTCTCGTTTCTTTATATTTGCCACTCTTAACACACCTCCCACATGCTAAAATTTACTTGTAAAAACGAAAATATTGATTAATTAATTGAATACTTACGACCGTCTTGAAAGGTTCTAATGTCTTTGGTTGAAATAATTTGTGAACCGGTTGTGACTTCTCCCGCAACTCCCACACCTCAACAAATCCACCGTTCTCACTGTTTGCCGCAATAACCAGAGAATCGGCATCTTCTCTGACCACAAACTTTAAATGAGTTACGACTGTACCTGCAAAAGAATATAAAAGATCTATGCTTTTTATAGCTAAACTTTTTGCACACACACACACAATTCATCGTTTCTTTTTTTCTATTCTATCTATAATAAAAATTAAAAAAAAGAGGTACTGTATAAGTTTAGCTAGAAAAAGAATTGTAATCTATAAAAAAAATGAACCATACTATTTATACTGCCATAAATCATTCAGCCATTAGTCTTACATGAATTGTCCTTAGGTGCCCCATCTTGCAGAAAAAAACTCGGTAAAGCTTGCGAGGTGATGGTGCACTTGTCATCATTCTTGCGCACCAGTACTCTAAAACATCTTATGGGCAAGCAGATGCTACCGCTACTGACCGCAACGAGAAAGTGACCGTCTGGAATTCGAAAAACAAATTATCGCAACATCCTCGTTATATCGTCTGAATTCGCAAATAGTCTTATAACGTGAGAAAAAGTACTTTTTCCATAACACAAATCGACCGCAGTTATCCTGTGTCTTGTGTTGCCTAGACTCTCCGTCGAATAGCAAATCGGATTTTGAAGATCCTTAGTGATCATGATTGCGCCAACCATGCCCGTCGTCGATACTACCAACACGCCTTCGGCGGCTCTTCCACCGAATTGCCTTACGGAAGGTGCGAACAGTAGATGATTAAATTTCTCGCTATAATGGATGCTATCTCTCTTTTCTGTTACTAAGCCTGTCTAAAGGAATTAATAAAAAGAGACATTAAAAGAAAAGATAAAACTATAAAAGTAATATATCTGTTTAAAGTTTTTTCATCATGTATCTGCATGTGACTTGAATATTTTTTTAAAACCCTGGTAAAATTTTTCTTAAAATTTTTAGACAAATTAAAACACTTCAGAAATAGTCTGAGAAAGTCTATGGACGGCATTCATAGTAATTCTTATATTCAAGACCGTTTTAAGTATAATCTTAAATATAGACTTAAGAGATCACGAACCAATCAAAGGGTCATATTAGCATCTTAAGACGAGATCTAGATTTAAGAAAAAATTTAGAAAAAATGCTTTCTTGGCATTTCTGAAAAAATGTTCCAAATTTTTAAAATAATTATAAAATCATTCAAAAATTCTGAAATTTCTATAATAACTCTGGTAGAAATAAATCGCTGAAATCATTGAAATCTATGTCAATTGATTTATTTCAGTATGAAATGGATCAATTGACATAGATTTCAACAATTTTCAATAATCTTAGTGATTTATTTCTACCAGGGAATTCTGAAAAATCCTGAGAAAAATTCTGAGAAAAATATTCGGTAGAAATGTTAAAAATGTAGTAATATAAAGCAATAATAAAATGATAATCTAATATAGTTTCGGTCCTGATAATACAGGTAAAAAAAACAACTTTATTGTTTAATCTCATCAGTTTGTTCATCTACCTTACCTTTTTGCCATTGTGAAACCATGCTGCACCTAGTATGTGCTCACCAGGGAAATATGCAGAACCTATTAATACCCAATCATTCAAAATATGATCCTTGAACATCCATAACTGTACATTTCCAGCTGTATCAGCCATTACCAACTTGTCACCAGGCAGATCCCATTCTAATGCAGTAATGTTGTGTTTATTCGAAAGTACTCTAGGTAAATACAAGAAACACTTATTGTTACAGCTTTACCTTGACTTATTGGCTTTTTAAAAACAAATTGACAAAGACATTATTTAATAAGAGATTAAATAAGATATGTATTGTAATATTGTTTAAAGAATATTACAAAGATAATTTAAAAGATCTTACTTATGAGCATGCCATGGCATATTTAAATCTGCTACATAAACATGGCAACCCCGTGTCTTGCCACTGCTGTCATCTAACTCTGTCATTGTAGTGAACGCTACTATATTCCGACTGGATAAGGAACACAACGATTGTCCATTGTATAAACTGAGAAAGCAAATTGTTAATTAATTCAAGTATACACATGTTTATATATTAGCTGTAAAATATTATTTATAGGTCTATTTTCAATAGCTAAAACTAGTATACACTTTTAGATTAAAGTGAAATAGATATATTTTGGCATTTAATGAAGCTGAGAAAGAAAGTTTTAGTGCAATCTACTGCAAAAATAAAAACCAAGCCTTATATCTTTAAAAAATATACCATTCTTGATTGGAAAAAAATTTGGAAGAACTCCTTCTGTTGACGGTATACAGTAGGTCCATGTTCCTTCGTTTTCTTAATTATTCTTGGAGAAATACAATACTGTATCTTTACAATCCTTTTCAAATTAATGAGGACGCTAAATGTTTTCTTCAGTCTTCATGAATAATACCGCTTGGTTAGGACTTCTCTTTTTTTAAAAGTCCATTATTTTTTGGACGATTTTCGTAGATGATCGCAGTAAGGGTATATCCACATGACTTGCATAGCCACATAAACGTATGCGTAAAGAAAATTATCCAATCATTTCTCCTAAAGACGCACGTAAAATATGATTGGATCATTTTCTTTGTGGCTATGCAAGTTTATGTGGATATACCCTAAGGCTGGCGTCCCATGGAGCGGAAATCTACAGCGGAACGGAACAGTGCGACCAATTACAACTCTGCAATCATTACTCTTTTTCCTTTTTTGCGATTGCGATTGGTCTCGCTGTCCCATTTCGCTGTAAATTTCTGCTCATGGGACGCCAGCCTAAAGGCTTAAACACAATAGGCACAGGCAATAGGCACAGGGAATAAATGCTCCAATCAGAGCTCTGGAATTTAATATCGAACTTGCACACCAGAGCTCTCTGATTGAACGGCTCGTTATTCTCCGTTGTCCGTGCCTATTGCCTGTGCCTATTTTGTTTAAGTTTTAAGCCTTATTGCCTGTGCTTATTGTGTTGAAAATACTTAATCCTTTTCCAAAGGAATAAAATTGTGAAATTTCTTTGTGTCGTTTTTTTTACCAGAGAGAAACCTTTTTACCTGAGAGAGGACATGACGGGTCAAAGTCTGTAACCGTAAGATGCTGTTGCGCACTACTGCCCTCTGACCAAGTGGATGTAGTGGACTACTTTTCCACTTTTCTTAGAGTACATCATCTATTTTTCAAGACTAGAGATGATAAATTGATATTTGGTTCATAATCGTGCTGTGTAGAAGTCTGTGGTTTTCCTACACCGTGTTTCGAGTTTCGAGCTCACTTTTTTCGTGACCGGCCATCGGCTGCTTGAGTTTGATATCCTTATTATTCCGTGGCTGATCCTGTTATCACGAATGTTAGGCAACATCGTCAAAAATAGTCTCTTACTGCGCGATAAGAGTGCACTGTTTAGAAGGTAATTAAAGTTCTCA